TTTTCTCCAAACATTATGAGGAACATTTTAAAAACCTTCTACAAACAATGTATCAATAAAGTTTTTTTGTGCTAACCTTTTGAGAACATTATTGAAGACCAGATAACACTGAACAAACGTTCTAATAACTTTACTGGAAGTATGTTTCTTCATAACTTTGAGAGCACCTTGCCAGAACGTTAGCCAAAGTTATGAGAATGTTCCCTGTCAACTGGGTCCCTCAAAATAGAGAATAAGCCATAAGCATATTAGCAGTTAAAATTACTTCTATACGGCAAGCTAATAGGTAGATCAGAGTAATTGGTGAACATCACTTAAAAACAACAAAATATATCATATACCAAGCAGGACCAACCTTCTTGAAAAAGTATTCTTGGAAGTGAACGTCACAGCTGATCATATGAGGGAGAATCATGGAAAATATTCACTCCATTCATAGAGACCTCAGCGCAGAGTCGTGCCTGTCGTGTCAGTACCGGCAGAAAACAAGAGAGATATTGTGTTGAGCAGATTGTGATCATGGAATAGTTAATCTTTTACTCCAGATTCCTGCAGGACACACAAACACATCCATCAGTTCAGTCTTATTAAGGGTGGCAGTAAATGAGTCAGTAGATGGACAGAATGATACTGCTCAAACCTTTGGACACATCTAAATTGTAAATATATCTGCAAGCAGAAGTTATAAAGCTAAAGACACCAATGATCTGAACCAATTTTGATTGAACCAAAGATTCAACAAACTAATTAAAAGTGAAAAACTGATAAACTAATCATTACTTTTTAAGCTATTGTATAAAAAAGAGAAAATACATTTTGAGAATTTTTTTTTCAATGCATGAGACATTGTTTTTCCATTCTGGTTGCATCACACCTCATCCATGGCTCCGAGAATACACTGCAGCATAAAGCATGTCATCGTTGTTGAGATTCATACACTGATTCTTGATGTCTAAGTGAGTTTAATAGAAGCATGTGTTCAAAGTGTTTAGTGTACAATGTGGTTTCAAAATACTTGATATTATCTGAATAAAACACTGCAGAACATTGTGCTACAGAGACACAAATCAAAATAATAATAAAAAAATAAATCTTTAAAACATCACCCATACGATCAAAGTTTAGTCACTGGATGAGAACAGGCTGCTTCCTTATTCTATTTTTGCTTGGCTTTTTCAACATAATAAATGTGTCTTTTAAACCGTTACAGAAGTCAGAGAAAAACTGATGTCAAAAAGTTAAGAGTCAAGAGTCAAACTAAAGCACACACTGATTGCCATAATGGTGATTTCAAGTCAAACATTTTATTAAAACATCAACATCTTAACCTCTGTTACTTTTGTAGACGTATGAGAGAAAGTGAAGCTGGTGATACTGTTTGTAGAGTTGTCCACGTCGAGTGCCCGCTGGGAAATTTAATTCTATAAACTTTATAAGAATTTTAGGGGATAACGTTCTGACATGTTATGGCAAGCAGGGCGAGGCCGAGAGCTGTAGGAACGGAGCGAGGCCATGGCGTGAGTGTTAATGACCGTTGTAACAAGGTTCGCGTTATAAGTGGAGGAAGAAGGAGACAGGGTCGGCGAGACTGGGACTCGTACGGTTTTACGGTTTTATTTTCCAACAAAATAATAAATGGTGCGCACACAGCGCATTCACCGTAGTCGAACTACAGCAACACAACACTTTCAATAATAACTCTTTCCACGCTGATTCAGCTTCAAAGTCCTCCACAGCTTCAGATAGACTCTTTCCACGCTGGTTTCAGCTTTCACAGTTTCCACACTTCTCCCGCACGAGTCGCCAGCCGTTCTCTCTCCCCTCATTCTCTCACTTTGCGGTTTTTATCCGTCTCCCCACGCCAATCACTGCAATCAGACACAGGTGTTTATCATTTGCACTTGACCCACTTACTCACCGCAGCGCTCTCTGACTTGTCTCTCACTACAGACGGCGCGAAAACCACGCCCCCCTCATCACAACTGTCATCTGCGCGCCATAGCGGTCTCGAGTCCTACAGAGAAGCTCCGGTAGGATAAAAGGAGAAGCAATGACAGTGAAGGATGAGAGAGGACTTGCAGCTCTGTCTATAAACAGGGCTGTTTTTAGGCATAGGCAAAGGCGGTCGCGGTCGCATCAGCTGGAAGGGCGCCAGTGAGCGCATGTTTGGCACTTTAGCAGGGGTGTTTGTAAAGGGTGTCACAGCCACCCTGAAATATGATTGCCACCCCCCCACTGGTTCTCCCAACACTATTGGGCTAGAGTACTGTCAATCTGATGATTCCTATGCCACTGGATCAGAGAACTGTCAATTACTGTCTGACTGTTGCATGTAAAGTTTGATTTTGGAGTGCTCAACAACACCATTAGATCAAAGAGCTCGGTCAATGCTTTGACAAGGTAACGATTTTTTTTTTAACCACCTTTTTTTTAATACCTGAAATGAATACCAGAAATACTAATGTTGCTCTTTAAGATTTGACTGGGGGGCGCCAATAAGGATTTGGCCTAGAGCGTCAAAATGGCTAGAAACTGCCCTATCTACAACCTAAACCTCAGTCAATTCTCAACAAGAACTTCTGTACATGTATGAAAGAAACTGGTTTGTAAACTGGTTTCACACTCAGTGTGAAAAGGCTTAAGGCTGTGGCTGGAAGTCAGTTGTAGTTCTTGTGTTTCTCTTTTTTCTGTTCTTGTTTTTCTGTCCTTCAGTGATTCTGCTTGTTATCAGCAGGTGTTGCTGGGCAATCTTGCCAAGCAATTGTTGCTTGGGCACTTTCCCATTGAAAAATTTCTATCTGGATAATTTAGATCGGTCGTGGGCCCTGTGTCTCACGTGGTTGCCCGTTGACGGCAACATTGCAACATTGCTCAAAAAGTTGCCCTGTGAATCATCCCCTTGAGTGTCGACTTTGAGCGCTGTTAATTCACAGTATATTCCTGTAGGTTCTTGAAAATTTCAAAAAACGACCCAGAATGCATTGTTTTATATGCTATATTGCAGTTTTAATGGAAAATAGTATGTTACTGTCAGAATTTTGCCAGTTTTTTTTACAGCAAGGTTTTACAGTGGGCGCATTTTCAAACATTTGATGTAAAATATACAATGTGTTCATGAAACAAGACCAAATAATTGTAATATTAAAAAAACAACTAAGCAACACATTTAGAAAAACAATTAATTTTAAGTTCAGAAAAAAAAAATCTCCCATCATTACTAAATATTATCAAACTGTCCCTTTTTAACCCTTAAGAACCCGATGTGACGTGGGTGTCACAAACACTAATGATCATTGGAAAAGGTTTTTTTAAACGATTATACCTCACTTTCAACCCAGGAAGTCCCTAAGGGACATATAAGGAACATCCAGGTTCAGTCATGTGACAATATGTGCATTTTTGTTGCCATGGTAACATTTCCAAAATGGTGGTCTGTCTTGTGTGCACATGTTGCAGTGTCAGCACTTTTTAAAGATGCTTATTTTTGTTACTAAAGGTATGTTTCAACCCATGCAACAATTCTAATGTTTTAATAACATATCCTAGATTACACTTGACTTGATTTTAAAACGTTTCTTGTACAAATTGATATAAAACAAGTTTTGCAAATGTTGTTGTGACATATGTGTCACATCGGGCTTTTAACAGTAAAACAGTAGGTGGAATTTTGATGTGACGTATGTGTCACATTAAGAAAAATGCTAATGAACTGCTCAAATAATTTAGCTGATTCAATTATTTTAGTATTATATATATTCTGCTGCTCAATTCAAAGCATATTTTAAACAAAAATTTTTTAAATTAATAACATTGTTAAAGGGTAACTAAGCCCCTGATCAGAGCCTGACTCCACCCACTGGCAATATTTGAAAAATGCTGTAAAAGTGGGCAGAGCCCAGCGGACGGAGGGGCGTGCACCTGAGACGCATCTCTCTGTAGGCATGGGTGTGGTTAGCTGGTGCCTGCTTACCTCACAGGGCACCACAAATTGAAAATTCAACTGCAGTAGCCACCGTTCAACCTGAAGAGGACAGCACTCAGATGTTTTTACACCATATATTGTAGAATTAAAACACTTTATACCCAAATGTCTAAAAAATGACTTGAATCAATGAACAGCAATAATAAAGCCCCAGTCTTACAGATCATTAACTAAAGAAAGTTGGTTTAGGGTTTACCCTTTTATGAAATGTATTTTGAAAATATGTTGCATACCTGTAACTAAAACAGCTATGCAACATATGGTACAAAACACCATATTTATTGTTATTCAGTTTGCACATTTTCGCGTTGTGAAAAAATAATCAAAAAATGTATTTCTGGTTAAACCGTATACCTGAAAAGGTAGAATTTTGCAATGTTATTGCACTACATGCATGTTCAACATGTTGACCTCCGGTGTGAGGTAGTTATTTATTTTTATTCATTTTGCACATTTTCGAGTTGTGAAAAAATAATCTAAAAATGTATTTATGATTAAACCGTATAACTGAGAAGGTTAACTTTTGAAGTTACAAAACAGTTGTTGTAAAATGTAATGGTCACAGTTGTGTGGTTTTGAAATATGTGGCAAAGCAAATAAAATGCAAAAACTATTACTTCTGAAAATTTTTTTTTTTATTATTTATCTTCACAGAAAAGTAATAATTTAGAAAATGTTGTGGAAAAGAAAATAAACAGAAAAAAAATGTTATTTAGCAAGAAAACTGACCAAATTATTTTTTTTCCAAATGCATCATAAAAGCCCAATGTGACATATATGTCACATTAAAAATGCACCATAAACGCCCAATGTGACATATATGTCACATTACAGATCTTTGACAAGGAGTGGTTGTTTTTAAAAAACAACGGCAGAAACATGTTTTAAGTGGTCCAATTAGTCTGTTTTATATGCCCCATAATTTTACTATAAGGGGAAATTGGTCCGGGTTCTTATGGGTTAAGCATGACAAGCACTTCAAGTTCAGTAACAATGAGAAACATGTAACTTTAACTGATTAGGTAAACACTATGCAAAATACAATTTGCAAAATTAGTAAAACATTAAAGAAAGTAGCATGGTTTCCACTGTTAAACAATGCACAGTTCAGGTCACTTCTTGTTCCAGAGCTTTTCAACACAAACACGGTCTCACACCAGAGATCTGGCTGATCTAATCTGTTCATGACAGCAGTGACTTTAAACGTCTCATATGGAGGAATCAGCACCTCTTTCTCATCAGGATACTTTGAATATTTTGTCAAATTAGCACCTTCACAAGTGTAGATTTCAAAACAAGATTTATTTCCAAAACCCTGTATTACTTTACGGTCAAGAGAGGAGGATGAAAATGAGCTCAAACGAACCTCTTTGCTCTGAACATCAAATTCAGCATTTGTACCTCGATAAGTTACATAGCATTTATTTTGTGTTTTCTTCAGAATCTGAATCGCTTCTGTTAACAGAAAGTGAAGTGAAAACCACTTGAATGTCCCCTCTTTATATTTCTGTTTGTCAGTACGAGTGGCACTAGTGAAATTACTATATACTTTAGAGTCTTTGTTAGTGTACACATGAATGGCGACTGAATGAATCTGTTGCAAGTTATCCTCTGCTTTCTTGGCTTTCTCTTCACCTTCTTGCCAAGTCTTATTAAATTCAGCTGAGGTCGATTTTTCCTTCTCTAGATAAGTTGTGTTCACCAGGTCTGCCATTTTCACAGTACAACCGTCATATTGATCATCAACTGAATTCAGTGCGAAATCCAATGGAAATATCTGTCCTTCAACAGCAGCAGTGCTGTAATCCTGCAGCAACATGAATCATAATGATCACATCATCAGTATTCATGTCTGTAATATTCATACTAGAACACAAGCTTACCTGTCCTAGAGCAGCTAAAATGAGAAGAAGAGCTTCAATGATCAGCAGCATCTTGATTCAGTCCCTCAGATGATCTAGTAGATCTAGTGAAGAACAGACGATGACAAACACAACAGGGTTTCACAAATTAATCTATCATTGCAATAAGAATATGTGCATAATTTGCACATTATACTGTTCACCAACATAAAAAAGTAAAAAAATTCATATTTATTCTAATGGCAAAACTATTTGAATAATCAATAGAACCTGTGATGTTCACCGATGGAAGTGTTATATTGACCTTAACCACAAACGTACCTGAGAATGCTGTTGATTCTTGTTGTCTGATACCGTTTCGTTATTTTTTTCAGGAGCAACGACGAGAGAAGATCAGAAAGGTCTGTCGCTCACAGCCAGATGACAACGACTCTTCAATCTAAGAGAAAAAGGAATGTGGCTTTTGTATATTGCAAATCATCCATGTCCATGTCTTATGGGTGTGTGTGTCTGTGTGTGTGAGATATGATGCATTTACAGTACACTGTAAAACACATGTTTTTCAAAAACTGTCATAATTATTTCCCTCTGTGAACCGTCTAAATATATTACTTTAATATTAGGAAAATATATTGGTACCATGCTATCTCGTTGCAGCGTATACTGGTATACTTAGTGTAAAATTGTTTGTCCAGATATTTGTAAAGTTGGGACAACATTTGACTTGATTTCAGTCAAGTCAACACAATGGTCTTTGTTTTGTCCTTGTTAGCAACATGTTTAGATTATTCTTTTTCAGTTTACACAAAATAATAAATTCCTTCTGCTACAAAAAACATTCAAGCTATTTCTTAACATTACTTAGAAATCTCTTAAGTTCAAAAACCTGCCTGGAAGTCAGCAAGATAGCAAACCCATGTGAAAGTGTGAAACAGCATTCATTTTGTGTTTTCTTTTGAATCTGTATCACTTCTGTTAACAAAAAAGTGAGTTGAATTCAATCTGCCATTATTTGTATGAAAACACCATTTTCATACATCAAACATCTGTCCTCACTTGCTTTACACCATCCAAAGCCAAACTGGTTTGGAGTCTACACCATCATTCATTCATTGTGTCACAACGGTTGACAATATCACAAAGATATTTTTGACTGTTATTGTCTGAAGAACATCTCTTCCAAATTTGAGTTGATCTGTTGAAAGCTCTAGGACTAGTTTGAACAAGTATGTTCAAGACAACACCATTTAAACTTGGTTAGACCGTTTATTTAAAAAAATCATTAGCTAAAAACGAAGTAAAATATAAACTGTTGCACTGTAAATTCGAACAAGTTCAGTTTACTTAAAAAAAGTTTGGAAACCGATTGCCTTATTTTTGCAAAGCAAACTTAAAGGGTAAACTGAAGTTAAGTTAATCGGCTGAAAATAAAGAAAGCTAACTCTTCCCAAGTAAATTAAGTATAAAGATCAAGTTAGTTTAATGTCAATTCTAGTTAATATACTAAATAATATTTACTAATCTTACTTACGATTTAATAGTAAGATTACTTGAGTAATTCCATTTAACTAACAGTGTTATAATGTGTTCTGCAAACATCTTAAATACTATTATTCTCAACATGGTTTTAATCTGCCATTTTAAGCTATGGAGACTTAAAAAAAATATGTGCAATCGGTTTCCACATTTTCTTCAAGTAAAGTGAAATAGGAATTGTATGTTGAACTGACAAATGCTTAGTTAGTATAGTTCACTTACACAAGAGTTCTAGACACTAAAAAAGAACTGTAGAGAGTACTTGATAATTTACTTTAAATACAATTTAATTGTTACCATTGTTGTGTTTTGCATGTTGAATGTTGAAGCCTGTGTAACTCAAGCATGATCAATTACAAGATTGTCACTTTTATATTAAACTTTTATATGGGATTATATAAACTCAATTTAAAGCTTCACAAGGTGTTTAGGACATAAGTGTTTTTTGTTTTTATTAAAGATCATTAATTGACGTGAAATATAGTTATACATCAATCATACACACAAACATATATATACATATATGTGTGTGTGTGTGTATATACAATATATATGTGTGTGTGTATATACAATATATATGTGTGTGTGTACATACAATATATATATATGTGTATATATATACGTATGTGTGTGTGTGTATATATATATATATTACTTCTCTGCCTTTGAAATCATATAATTGATTTCTTGTTGCATCACTGCATCAATGGGAAGAGAAAAATAATAATATAAATGAAGTTCCAAGTGACCAACCAAAGGGAACATTAATCGCCATAATGGTGATTAAAAATATTTTAGGAAAATCAACATCAATTTATGAAGTCAGCTTATGTTATGTTCTCTCAAAATTGACAATTCAACATTCAAGATGACTTTGGGAAATGAGTGAATGCAAACAGAGAAAAATAACTGCAGAAGTGGAGGAAATTAGTGAAAAGTCCATTAAGATTTTTCCCGCCACAAAAACCACATTCAAACCAATCAATTAATCTTTACTTGGGTTTTCTGAGTTACAATTAAGTTAAGACATTAAGTAAAGTTTACTAAAAAGTGTTAGTTAGTCTAGTCAAGTAATGTTTACTTGGGTTTTCTGAGTAACAAAGGCATAGCATGCAAACAGTACAGATTACTAAATTGTTTTAAGTAAGTTCAACAAATTATTGGACATTAATTAAAGTTAACTTTAGTAAGAACAACTGTTATATTTTACAGTGGGGCTAGAGGGTTTGAGAGACTGACAAATTTGGTCAGATTATTTTTCAGAAACTGCCCTTATAACTGTGCCAAATTTCATAACATGTTATCGTACAGTTCTGCCTGTCAGTGGCAAAGAGAGCAAAAGAATAATAAGAAAACATACAGATACAATAGATGTCAATGTAACTTTTCTGAATGGCCTCTAATACTGTAAACCAACTGTAACGGATAATATATTTGGGTAACACTTTACAATAAGGTTCATTAATTAATGTATTACACTCAAAAAAATGATATGTTGGCTTTACTTTACTTGGCTTAACAGGTTCCACCGGTTCCACATAACTATGTTTCGTTAAACAAACATAATATGTTCATGTAACTTCAACATCATGGAATTTGGTCATTTTAAGCGACCCAATTAAACTCTGAGCTAAAGAGTTAATTAAGTGAATAACTGAGTGATGATTGAGCATTATTGAAGACACCTGATGTTAACAAGCAGAATCTCTGAAGGAGAAAACTGGAATGTTTAAGTCACCATTATGGAGATAAGTATGTGTTTTAGTTGGGCTCTTGACCATTAACTTATTAACTTTAGATTGTGTTTGGTTGCTGTACATGAGTTATAACAGCTGGATAAACAATAAACAAAGGTCATCTGATGGTGTTGGTTGTGTTTTAACATAATCATTATTTCACAATCATTTGACCTGAGTCACTGAACTTATATTAAACCGAATTTCTGAGTTAAGTTAACCTTTCGAATAATAGCAGCATTGTCATTGTAGAGCATACTATTTTTAGACTTTTCAATGAAATTCAAATGATCAAATCAATAAATAAAAAAGAAACTTCCTAAAAAATATTTTGAGTAGGCTCACACAGACATCAAGAATCATCCTGTGAATCTCAACAATGGTGACAATTATAAAGCATGTTGCAGTGCATTCTGGGTGCCACCAGTGTTGTTTTTGGCAGCCCTTTTAGTTTTAGTCTTAGTCTTAGTCTTTTGGACGAAAATGCTTTTAAGTTTTAGTCACATTTTAGTCACTTATAAACTGAATAGTTTTAGTCAAGTTTTAGTCGACGAAAACACAAAAAGGTTTTAGTCAAGTTTTAGTCGACGAAAACACAAAAAGGTTTTAGTAAAGTTTTAGTCAACTTTAGTAAAAAAAAAAAAAAAAGTCTTTAACAAATTCATTTAGGTTAAAAAGTTTTGGAAATGGGCTTAGGTTTGACAGGTTGCAAGTGTTGCAATTCATAAAACAACAGCTAACCTTAACCTTTGCATAATAAAGACTTTCTCATTGATGGAGATGCAGTGCCATTGCCAAGCTGTACTTCATTTTCACATTGGGCAGAAACCTTTTATCCCCATTTCAAGTTATAGTTTTTCCATGAATATTAAATGCTATTTTCACCAGTAATCACAGTAATAAAGGAATGGTTTAAAGTTTAAACAGCAAAAAAATTGAGCTACTACAACATTACACACAGATAAAGTGGTAACAGTGGAATCACTGTTTTACTCCTAAAAAGCCAGGAATAAAAACATTCTTACTTTGGTAATTGTGGCTTTATTTGAGAAATTGCTAAAGTGCAATGAACAACGTGGCCAAAATATAAGCTATTGAGGAACACATACTTATGATCTACAACTTGCACTTCAACTTGTCTGCCAGTGCAACAACAAGATGCATATTATTTGTAAACACAAACATCATACAACCCTGTCTATCTTTAACTTGTGCAAACTGCAAAGTTGCAAACATTCTGAAACAAAATAATAAAATAAATAAATAATACGGTGCATTGAACATAGGTTGTTACACAGCAAAAACTCCAGAGTTAAATGAACTCTCCTGGGAGTTTATATGGCTCCAGACTCAGTGTTAAAATATGAGTGTTAAATTAACACTCAAGAGTGTTAAAGTTAATGAGCTCATTAAGTGATTAATTGAGTGATGATTGACCATTACTGAAGACACCTGATGTTAACAAGCAGAATCACCAAAGGAGAAAATCGAATTTTTTAAGACACCATTATGGTGATCAGTGTTCACTTTAGTTGGGCTCTTGACCCTTAAATTTGTTTCTCTGTTGTATCTGAGCTATAACTGCCAGATGAACACAGAAAATGTTTATCAGGTGGTGTTGGTTATGTTTTGACATAATCATAATTTGATCTGAATCACTGAACTCATTTAGAGTCTAATCTCTGACTTAAATGTATATTGTTGCTTTCGGCGTCAATATGATTCTACGGCAAAAGATCCAGAATTTTCTAAATAATCTAAAGGATTTCTTAAGAGTTGTTCTGATAAAACAAAATCTTTCTTTTAGGCACACACAGACATCAAGAATCAGTGTATGAATCTCAACAATGG